ATTTAAGTTTAATAATAAAACAATTTATTTTTGGTTTAATATTATAAATTTTATAAAGATAATAATTAAGTATTCTGTTAGAATTTAATGATTATACTAATTATATTTTAGATTTTTTATAGTTAAAATGAGATGTTTATCTTGTATTTGATTGTGTTTATCTGCAGTTAGTTACACGAATTCAGATATAGGATGAAATCGGATAGGGATGAACGGATTTAAGAGTTTTTAATAGTTTTTAAGAGTTTTAAGGGTTTTAAGAGTTTTAGCCAAATGTTTTATAAGATAGTATAGATATATAAAAATTAAATTATAAATAAGATAAAATATTATTTTTTTATTTTTTATGTTTATTATGTAAATAAATATTTATATATGTGTGCATATATATATATATTCAAAAATTAATTATATATAATAATAATAATAATAAAAATAATAATATGTATTTATAAATTATAATTATTGTTATTAAAAATAGTTTAATAATAAATAAAATATAATATTTTAATATGAGGTCCACAACTTTGGTTTTTTTAGAATGGGTTTGGAGTTGACTTTTTTTTTAATGGGCCGTCAAATTTGGTGTTTTTTAGTGTTAAAAGTTGGAGATGGTTTAAATGTTTATAAAAAATTAGAAAAAAATAAATACTCTGAATAGTTTTACCTCTTTAAGTATCAGATAAAAGTTTTTTTTTAAACAAACAAGGCCTAATAACTTTGCATGAATATTTCAATTGTTTGGTTTGTATGAGTCACAAATTTTACAAACAATTGAGACACTTGTAGAGTATTTGTTAAGAAAATCTTATACCTTGTACACATTTTTTTGATTGGTATATGTTGATAATGATTTTATACCAATATTATAAAATAGAAAAAAGGACAAATGTCAAAGATCTAAATAATCTGTGTTATAACTATAAATCAGTGATGAGACTTTCGTATTTTAGCCTATGAATTCTAACATACAAGTAACAAGAATCAAATCATTGATGAAACTTTATTTTTTAGCCCACGACTCATAATATGCAAACAACATGAACACGACGAGTTCATGAGCTTTTCATAACAAATTATCGGTTCTTCAAGAGCTCAATAAAAAGAGGAATTGATCTTGATTTAGTGTTGTGCACGCTTTTTAGAGATCATGTTGAATTGTTGGATTATCGTTTACTAGGTTGTAAGGTCTCCACGTCGCTTTCGAATTGCAGCTTTAAATGGTGGAATATCAAATTACATTATACTCTCTCCAGTCTCTAAGTTTTTGACTTTCGATGGTGGGACGCAAATCGAGGGGTCATTGAAGGATGTATGGCAAGCGGTTCTTTGAATTGTTTATTCTCTTTGGAATCTCAAAAATGCTTATGTTTTCAAGGGGCTTAATTCTTGCGGTGATCTTTTCGGCAACATCCAGCTTAAATCGTTTAATTGGATTTCCCCTAGGCTCAAAGATCGGTTTATCTCTAAAACGGTTTGGTTTAAGTCCCATTCTTTTTCTGTTTCTTGAGATTTCATTAGTCTTTTTATGGTCGTTTTTTTTTTGTTTTGATGGTTGTCTTTTTCTTTTGGGGTTTTAGATAATTATACATACAAGGAACATAAATAAACATTATTGTGCATTTAAGTTATTGGCAATACTAAATATACATAAGATGTTTTTTTTGAACTATATAATATTTATATATGGCAAATACAACAAATAAACTTACATACCTTCCTCATTTATAATGAGGTTTGAATCCCTGATATTTTAAGAGGTTAAAGATTAAGATACCGTTAGACCAAAAACTCTTTATGTTAAGGGATATGATCTAATGGATAATATAGATGGGTACAGAAAATAATCGAAATTCAATTAGGAATGTTTAGATTAAAGTATTAATTAATGATAAAAAGGAGAAATAACTAAATATTTTAAAAAATAATTAATAATTAATAAACAAATTATGTATGATATGATAGTCTCATAATTCCATTTATCGAGCTATCTGTAAAACATATGGTCGTCTTAGAATTAGTCGGTTTGTATATCGGATTGGATATCGAGATTAATAAAAAAAAATTATTTAACAATTAAGTACCCCAATCTCCCATAAAATCTTCAAAATTTTGCAACGGTGTGGGAGTGTATATAAAAACATGAGTGATATGGCGGTTGAGAGATGACGTGTCCGGCGGCAATTCGTCGGACGACGCCAACCGAAGGCTCTCCAAGTTGAAACTCATCCATACTCCCGTATCGTTCCCTTTCTATTCGATCATTTTCTTGGATGATTAACATGCACGAAAATTCTCATATAAAGCAATCGGTTTCAAAGCAGAAGCATGTAAAATAGTTGTAAATTTTTGTTTCCGTGATCTTGTTTCACGAAGAATCACCAATGGCGGGGCTGAGATCCGGCCGCCGAAAGCTCTCCTTTGATGTTCTTACAACCGCCGACTCATTCTTCGACGACGACGGACCATTCATACAAAGGTCCAGTTCTGGACCCCCGATTCACACAAATGAAGACGCGTCCATCACCAAGACCAAAAGAAGAAAACGCAGAAACAAGGGTTCAAAGAAGAAAAAGAAGGCGGTAGACGAATTTGGTTTGAATTGTAATAATGTTACTAGTGATGGTAATTATAGTCGTCTAGAGATGATGCCGACAGAGGGGGTGTATGGGGAAGTGGTTGTGCCGCCAGAGGAGGAGATTGTTCGTACAGTTATTAGTTCTGATAGGGGAACACCGGAGTTGAGACAGAGTAGTAATGTTGCCAGTGGCGGTGATAACTTGTCCATGGTGTTTATCGATGAGGATGTAAAGGAGTGTATCGGTAGTAGTTGTATGAGTACTGCTGCTACTTCTACGGAAATGGGTTCTCAGATGAATTCGAATGGGAATGGGAATGGGAATGGGAATGGGAATGGGAATGGTGTTAGGAAAAGGAAGGAAGAATCGTTGGACGTTAAGCAATTATTCGCAAAAGCAAAGCCAAAAGCAAAGCCAAAGCCAAAGCGTTAGTTCTACTGCAATTTTGTTTTCTTTATATATTTCTAATTTAGAAATCTCTGTTTATTGATCTTGTTTTTATTGGTTCTAGAAATTCTGAACTTAAGACACTGGTTGAATAGTTCAGGGGTTAAATGTAGCAACTTGATGTAGGTGAATTCAGACGTGTAGTAACTTCTAAGAACGGAGGAACCATCATCCCTTTTATGTTCGGGAATGAATAGAGAATTACTTGAAAGAAAATATTGACAAATTATTGAATTTTAGGCCTCAGAATCAAGCATCTTGAGTATGAACAGTGTTTTTGCCAAAATTGTGGCACACTGAAATCAACCTTCATTATGAAGTGCAAATATTCAGTAGTTATTAGATATACACAAAATGCAAGAAGACCATCCATGGGCTTTGGGAACTTCACTTGATGGTTGGCAGTACACAAATCTTGACGATTTAAGGTGCTTAAAATTGTATACATGCTAGCCTTACTGAATATTGACTATATACTAGGATCCTAATCGAATCCTAAATTGGTATATATGCTAGTCTTAATTTTAAGAGAACTACTGAAAAACTACTCAACAACAATAACTAAATATAACCAACTTCCTGAAAATTGCTAACTGACATGACCAACGATTGACTTTAGGTACTGAATAGCAGATTTGGGTAATGTAATATGTTGCTCCTTTGCATGCCACTGCTGCTTTGTAAATTATGGAGCAGATGGGTTATGTGTCTTTGGACATATGAATTTAAAAGGGAACTTTTGATGCACCAAATTTAAGTATCTTTCTTCTTTTCTTCTCTAAATTCATTTTCCTACATTGTATGTCAGACAAGTTTTCTTTGGAGACATTGCCAGTCAAATACTTTATGGAAGAAATGTATGGGGCTAGTTCTTTAAGGACTACAACATCCCTTGCTGATGAGAAGGAACGAGAAAGAGTATATGACACTATATTCAGCATGCCATGGCGCTGTGAATTGGTAATGCATCTCTCTAGATGATCATCGAAGGGTTTGTATTGTTAATTATTTCTTTCTTTTCTTTTCCAGATGACCATATAATTGGTTCTGTGTTTCTATTATTACTATTAAATGTAGCTTGCCAGTAGCTAGTATTGATGTAATTGGGTATATGAATCAAATTTGGTTTTGCATGATAAAAATTGTAGTGGTATCCTAGGAAACTAGCAATGATTGGATGCAGAGCATTAATTTAGCCAACAACTCAAGTGTGTCCCAAACTGATTGTATTCTTTGGTGGGTATAGTTTTCAAACGTGCAGTAATGTTTGTAGCAGTAGCTATTGAAGGAATAGATGAGAACAGAGCATCTTTATATGCTTGAGGCCGCAGTCTCAACCAAAAAGCACAATGATTGTGAAGAGTCATATGGTGATAAAGATAAGTTCTGATTCAAGTGGTTGACAAATTGCCAGTTCTTAATTGATACTTGTTAATTGTGTTTTAGTATAATATATTTTCTCAAATAGAGGCCAACAATGGGGCATAATTTGTCTAGCCAACCCAAATAAACAAAGTTTGTGTTCAGGGAATTCAGTAACACGAGTGATGGGTCCTACTAAAAGATTTGTGATTGTTCGCGTTATTTAGTACTAGACTCATATCAGGATTAACAGTCTCTTTGGTGCCTCATATGCTACCATACCTGGAGCTTCTACTAAAATTGCCTAGCTGTCGATGTTGTTAGAGTAAATACATGTGTGCTGCGAATGCCATAGACATCCTTGTTACTTGTGAGGAAAACCCAATAGCACATGACTCTAAGCCTGCCCAGCCATAGGCGAAGACAACGGCAAACATGCATCTTCTAAATTTCAAATTTCCTAGTCCAAGATATGCACAGAAAGAGATGGAAACCTCCAGAATTCCTGGAGGAACGTCAAATGGAATGCCATGTTTGGAGTTAAGGGCAGGGGTTCAATGAATGATGTTACTACTAAACTGCTGTATGAATCGTGGTTAATTGTGACATAATGTACTGATGTCATGCCTTGGTAAATTTCAATGACTTTGCAGCTTATCGATGTAGGCTTCTTCGTTTGCTTGGATTCATTCCTGTCTGTGCTAACTATCATGCCAATGAGGATTCTCACAACCTCTTGGAGGCTTCTAACAACTTGGTATATTCTGTTGCATCTCAAACTGTATGTCATCAAGTCAGTGATTCCTTGAACTTACTTTTTACCAGCTTTCATGATAAGAAGTTTTGAGTCAGTCAACCGTTTTGTAATTTGGAAATGGAACTAGTAAACAGTCATTATATGCCAAACATTTGTCCTATCCTATGTTTTCGCCATTCATTGGTGAGCCTTCTTTTCTTTACTATACTTTCTTTATATACTGTAATGAGTTAACAAACTTCTATTTCTGGGCATTGTAATACAGTGCTTATGAAATAAAACAATAGTAAGATACAAAGTACAGTGGTTCTCATGTCTGATGGATCCTAAAAAGGTCAAGCTGCTAACTGAGGAAAGCAGCTGCACCTTGTTTGGTATGCTAAAAAGCCTGCGTGCTTTTAACTAAATATTCACCAGTTTCACATTGTTATATTCTGCACATTTACTCTCTCAAATGACCAATCATTCCTACTTGATCTGATGGTAAAAAGGAGCTTGATTCTCCATGTATATTTTTTCATTTCTCCTTTTCTTATTTTAAAATTGAGACGATCTGATGGTAAAAAGGAGCTTGATTCTCCATGTATATTTTTTCAATTCTCCTTTTCTTATTTTAAAATTGAGACATAATGTTTAAGGTTAGTATAAAGGAAGGAGCAGTGAATTCATTTAGATAGAACTTTATGCCTGCAAAAGATAATTCTGGTATCTAGTTTTGTGCAGAAGTAAATATAGAAGAAAGTATACGATGAGGAGGTACAGTTAAGGGTTAAGATGGTTAGCATTTTGGTAGTGGTTGAATTTGAATTAACACCAAGAGAGCATAACTAAAAGCTACCAAAATTTTCATGTGGTACTCTTTGCTTCCATGTTTAGTAAGAGCTCTTGTTTCGTTGACATTTTCCATTTCATGCTACTTTTATCTTGTTTTTTTTTCCCAACTGGTGTGATGACTTTGATTTATGTTTATGTTTTTTATTAGAGATATATATTATTAGTTTGATATTACAAGGTAATCCAACTATTCTTGTGGCAGGCAGTTCAAAATCACTTCAGCAGCAGAGCTGTCTGACCTTGGTTGTTGTCTTATTATGGCTTGTGGAGTTATCCTTTTACAACAAACAGGTTTAGTAAGGGAATCGAGTCCTTAATCACTTCAGCTTTTCCCTCAAAATTACAGCACAATGGGGGTTCAGTTCTAACATTATAACATCCCCCCCTTTCTTTGCTGCTCAGATATCAGCTTGATATATCACATGATTAGAGGCCAAGGCACCATCAAACTCTATGTGGTGTATAATGTTTTGGAGGTGAGACCATGTTTATTGCAAAATTTCAGATATTATTTATTTTTATAGTAATTTAACCAAAAAGGGAAATTTAGGTTGAAGTTCTTCCATCAGTCTAATATTTTATTATATGTACTTTATGAGCTGTTACCAAAGATGGGAGATTTGCTTGAAGAACTTAGGTGTTCTACAATACAAGAAATGATTATATGCTATACTTCAAGTGATGTTCTATAATAATTTGGATTTTCAGTGGTGCAGGGCTGTCGGCTATTAGTTTGGAAATATATGACATCAATCTCATAATACCATACCTTGACCACTTCAATCTGGGAACTTGAGAGATAAGAAGTGAGACAATATGTTTGCAGTTGGATAGACTACATGTAATAAAGATAGAAAGCTACACAGAGATGAGAACATGAGTAATCTCCGCTTTGGACAATGCTAGCCATGCATACAGCATACACAACCTGTTAGGATGGAACTTATTTCTCTTGTAGATGCATGTTCCAAGTAAAAATTTGTTTCCCTGCAATTGCTTTGTATTTTTTCAGAATTGATTTTAAGGATACATGTTATGCTTCTTTCTGATTAAGGGATGAAGCAAGTCTCACTCGGTGAATCTTTGTAACGCTAGTTCTGAAATGGTAAATTGTTGCATGCTGATCAGAAAGAATTAGTTTTAACATAAGTTACTAAACTACGAGACATTTGTGGCTCATTCAAAATGCTAGTTGATATTTCTGTATTAAAATCCCACACTATTACTCTCTTATCTCTTAATATATGTCCTCCATACCCTTTTTTCCGTCTCTGAATAGGTTTTATATTTCGAGAGGTTCCTTGTTTTTCATTCTACAATATTACCCTTTGCTAAAAGTGGGGAAAGGTAACAAGAAGGATGTGATTTCACGCAGTGGCAATGCAAAAAGGAAGTGCTAAAGGCTTTTCTTCCACAAATTTTCTACTTGGTTTAAATGTCTTTTGAACATCAGTGCTAAAAGTAAGCAAAATTGAATGGGGCAACTTGTTTGAGACATAGGTGTCAGATTTCGTAGTTATATTCGGTTTAGTTTATTAGAGTTGGATTAGACTGAGGTTTGCTGTGATATTAGTTGATCAAGACCATATGTGTGCTTACAAGAGCAGATGGAACATATATGCTAAGACATATCTTAATAAGTATATGCTGAATGTTAACTGTACTTTATCCTAATAATTATCCTAACATACATCCCGAATAAATTGATGTTGCTCTAATCAAAGGATCCTCATCATTTCCCCATCCATCCAAGAAATTAGACCTTGAATTTCGAAGTGTTGGAACATTCTACGCAATCATCTTCCTGCAGTCATGTTTGTTTGACATGTACGTTGAGTAGATCTTATGGATTAACGAAATCAAGATGCTCAACATCCTTGGAGAAAGAACCAACAATGTTTTTCTCTTCCTTTACACCGTCATCTTTGACACCAACACATTCTTGGCAATTTAATCATTGATATGGCCATGTCATCTTCTATCTTTGGCTTTTAAATCTTGATCTCAATCTCACATACTCACCAAGTTTGAACTGCTATAGATTTTAGGTTCCTCAACCTTGGTTCTCTTATGATAATCTGCAACACGGGTCTTTGGTTTGGGTGGCAATGAATTCAATCTCTTCTTTTCAGGCACTTAGAGTGGCTTGCTGATTCCGACTGCTTTATTATCTCTGTGCGTTTAGTTGTGCTGGAACCGTATACTTGGAACTGATTACATTCAATTTCATCTTTGTAATGCTTACCATGTAAATGATACGTTCATGACTTTCCAAGTAAGTCATGGACTGCATTCATTGGTAGGACATGACAACAGATGGTAATAGGCTCATCACCAACTGAGCTTACAGAGACCTGGAACTTCAGACTATGTATCACTTGGAACTATGGACCCCATATTATTTAGATAAGGATATTAAAAGCACATGAAACAAGCTGAGGTTTGATCTTGCCACAAGAAAATAGTACTGAAAATCAAGTGACACTCATAATCAATAACAAGCTTCTTATAAGACCTTGAAATACCTTGATCCTAGGCATGAAGGCTACAACAATGTCGGGTCATCCTCTTGGAGAAGTGAAGGAAGGAAGGAAGATGGCAAACTTCACTGACAGAAAAAAACTTCAACCTTTCATAATTATAGAACTGTCCCTGAACAATTCAGAGTTGCATGAGCCCTTGAACCTTTTTAGACAGTGGATCATCCCTTGAAATTTGAAAAATATCATACTATCCCCTGGACTTTGAACATCAACAACTGAACAATGTGGAATTACGAAAAGTTCTCCAAGCAATAATTATGACAGTTAGAGTTTGATGTCTGATAGGTTTGGACTACTATGGTTTAATATGATTCAATGTATGGTTTAGGTGGATGTGGTACTTGTGTATGCTTTGCAAGTTGACATATTTCATAGGAATTTGACATTTTTGCTCAGGAAATAGAACATTAGAGATTCAAATTTTGAATGCCTAACCTATGACTCCGTAACATTATCTCATTGCTGTTGGACGTTTTAAGTCTCTCCCGTTAGTAGTCATGACTTCGTTTCTTCTAGAGTCGTCATCCACAAAGAGGTAGACTCCACCTTGCTCTCTAGCATTGCCGATCGTCTTTCCCAAGGTTTGCTCTTGTATCACACAAATATCAGAGGAAAGTTTGCCCAACATTTCTTGTCATGTGTCAACTTGCTTACAAATAACAAATTGCATAACTTAGTGAAGTAGATTGTGGCTAAGGCGAATTGAGCCTTTTCCCGCCACATAAGTGAGTCCCATTATCAATTATAACCTGCAATTGGTCGATGACAGGTGTATACACTTGGAACAAAGAAGCATTACTTATCATATTGTCTGAGGTTCCTGAATCAAAGATCCACAGAGCAGGAGATCCAGGTTCAAGGACTTAGAGTGTGGAAACCAATATCTTTGTAGGCTAGAGAGGAGGCTATCATGCTATGTTTGGAGTTATTCCCTTGTCTTTGGTTTTTCTGTTTAGTCTTGATTTCAAGTATCTGTTAAGCATTCTCCAACTTTGAGTAATTTTCAAAATGGCATCCCAGATTACCTTTGTAGTTTTGGAAGAAAGATGAAACCTCCATTGAATTAATCAATTACACTTTGGCGATGAATTATATTATTCCCAAGTTTGATACTTGGGGCCATCAGGCTTGGGCTTCTTGGCTTCTCTGGGGCCATCAGGCTTGGGTTTCTTGGCTTCTCCCGTGCTGTAGCTCATGTTTCCCTTTATGCGAATAACCATGCCGACTGATTGAGACCACTGGAGGAAATCTTTTCCATCTAGTTTGTGATGAATGATATGTAGCTAGGGTGAATCTCCATATGAGATGAAAAAGTAATCATCTTTGCCTTCCGTGATGAACCAAACCTTTAATGGTTCTGTTTTGGTCACTTGAACAACAAAGAAATAAAAGGAAAGCTGTTTTAACAGCATAGAAGTCTAGAAAAGCAAACCCCTAGACGACCTATCTAAGATTAGGGGAGAGTTTGATCGAGCAAGCAAAGGAAATGGCTGATTCACCCTCACTAGGAACTAGCGGATGGGAGGCCTTACCTGGTGAACTGCCTCCCGGCCTTCGATTCCCCTTACTCATAAAGGGTCTTACGGTGATCCATGGATCTCCGATTGGGAAACCGTATCCAAGCATTATATAGCTTTATGGCTCTCGTATCATAAAGTTACCAACCATAACAGAATTTTATGAAAGGCTTGAATTTCATTTGCAGGACTAAGCCTATATATACACATTGTTGTACATCAAACTATGAAACAGTAATATATACTTTTCTTATCTAAGAATTTAGGAAACAATATTATCTACTTTCCTAACTTACACGGATTACAATCACTACTTTAATTTACAAGGATATACCATCTTTATCCTAGGAAATAACCAGCATTAGTGTTAGGGAAGGTAATTCTAGTTATTTTTTAGCATAGATTTGGATTTGCAACAAATACAGAATACTAACTCGGAAGGGCTAATATTTGTCCTCCTTTATCCTGAGATTTTTGTGTGATGATACATAGGCATGGTTAAATGAATAAATTTATTTAACAAATACTGAAAATAGAAAATCAACCAAATTTACTCAAGTAGGATAAACATTTTCAAAGTGGGAAGCCTGCTTTAGAGTTGCTAAGAATCATTGTTAGACAGACAATGACAATCAGCTCCTTAATCAGTTCAGAAGTATTGCACTAAAATGAATTTTCTACCCTTTTGACATGATAGCTGATGTTAAGATGGGTTGATTTGTTCTAACAAGGAGGGGCGCATGACTTAATCCCCATCTTTTTGTTACAATTTTGGAAACATTTGAAGGTACAAAGGAGAGAGCAGTTGGTCTAATGTGAGCTATGCACTCAAACCAACACCTAAAATGAAGTGTACAATGGAACATTCATGTAAATTATCCGTTCCCACAACGTATTAATGTCTTTCTCATGATTGAAGCACATGGTTATATCACAAGTATAGCGTCATGTTATCATCTTATATGTTCTAAGCACTACTTCATATTTTTTAAACGTGGTATGCTGAATCTTGTCATTGCTTACAGATATTTGATAGGCTATGTCAAAATTTTGGTGGAGATGTATTGCAAACACTATTCAACTCCGCTCATGGTTTAGCTAACTGTTCATCTGAGTCTAAAAGATACTGGCTATGGAGGTTCATCTCTGATGAAGCATTAGCAGTGGTTTCTTCAAATATCCTTATTCTACTATCAATGTTTATAATATTGTTGGATTGCGTAACACCATATACAAACCTCCTTTTTCCTTTTTGCAACAAATCTCTTTTGTTCCCTTAACAAATCATACTCGTTCATTCATTTATCTTATTGGCCCAGGCCATTACTCTTTCAACCTGTATGGTTGCTCACAATAATGCATTATTTGCTTTGTTGGTGTCAAACAATTTTACGGAGATAAAAAGCAATGTGTTCAAACGTTTCAGCAAGGATAATATACAGCAACTGGTATATTTTGGTGAGTTTTTTTCTTTTCTTCTCAAGGCTTCATATTCTTTTGTTTTTTCGTTTTGAAGTTATTTGTGCATTTCTTGGTCTTTCTGCTTCTTTGTTTTTATTTGTTGCTAATATGAGCAATAGAGAAGACGTCAATAAATTATGAGCATAAAACAGAAAGGAAAAGAGTCCTGGATCTTAGACTAGTAGAACATGCCCCCTCACTGATACAGAAGTTTGAAAAACCTTTCCCGAAAAAGTTGGAAAAACCACAGACCAAAGAACAATAGAATCTAAATTGATTCCCCCCCCCCCTAAAAATAATGGTGACTCATACACCTTGTTTCTGTGTGCTCAGTCCTGGTCATTTAAATGATGTAAGCTTGTCAAAATCCAGAAATTGTTTATCACTAGTGACATGTAGGTCCTCCCAGTCCCCCATATAGCTATAGCGCTCTTGACTGGTTAATAAGGGTCAAGGCATTGAGTTTGTTTGTCACTAGTGACAGCTAATTAGCAAGCACCTACTTGCTACATCAATGGCATTTGCATTGAGGTCTTTTCAGTAAAGAGTATACATTTGATCAGCTGAACACCAGGGTTCTTTCATGGCATGGGATTACTTTCTCCATTGCCAGCCTTTTCTATCGAAAATAGTGTTCTCGTCTTAGGGATGTTATTCAAACATATTAGTACTCAAATCCGAAGCTGAGTGCATTCAATATGTTGTTACTCTTCATATGCTCAAATTTTCACATTATAACAAAGTGACCTCACAAATGGTACGTTAAAGTGGTTCCTGTAGGCATTCCGACACTCTGCAAGCCCTTGCAATTTTTTTTGTTTAGTTAGTGCACTTCCTCGAAACGTATCACAGGTTGGAATTTTTTACACCAGATCCTCTTGTTTTTCCTATTCAGTACTTTCTTTCTAGAACTTAGGTTAAGAAGACCACTAATCTTATAAAACTTTTCCCAGTGACTAGCACTGCAAAAGCTGCACATGTATGATATGTAAATGCGTTACTACACTTTTTCTATTGTTCTTATGTATCTCCAAGTTTATTTTGTTTGTCTTGTAATTTTAATCTTCTTTCGATTTCTTTTTGGATGAAAGTTAATAGATGCTTATTTATTTCATTATGACATGAATCAGGTTCAGTTTTCTGATATTCCGCATGGTGAAGGTTCTTTTTGTTTTGTATATATTCCATTGATGTGCACATTTTGTTGCAACATGTACAGATTCAATCGAGAGGTTCCACATTTCAGCATTTCTCATCTTTATCTTGGCTCAGAATATTTTGGAAGCTGAAGGTGCTTGGTTTGAAAATTTTCTATATGTAAGTTCTCTTGCTTGATAGCTTTTGCTTTCGTGGAAATAGCATGATTATTTATCTTCTTTATCTTTTTTCTTATTTCGTAAATGCTCCTCGTCTATTGTTCAGTGAGCCGAGCTATGTTTTTGTTATGCAAAACAATCACCACTTGAGTGACTTGTAGCGTAACTACTATGCGAGCAGTTGTATCCCAAAACACATGGCATGGAGAATTCTTTACCATACTAGATATTCATTTGACATGTAGAAGTATATTATGATCTTCAGAGCTTATCTCATTTTTTTATTTCCTTTTCGATTTTGGACGTCTTTGGGGTCATTACAGGATGTGCTGCTTTTAGACGTGGAATAAAAAGTCAGGATACCTTATATTTTTGTAGTTTACTTCAGACACCACAAGCTTTCACTAATCACAGCCTTGCGGAGAAGGCATGGTGATTGAATTCACTAGTGCACTAGAAGCATAGAAATGAACAAGTCATAAGAGGCGAGTTCTACTCAAGATTGAGCATTTTATTGCATTGTTTCTTATCTGTCATCTTTGGTTACTGCAGAATGCTCTTGTGGTTCATATATGTGAAATGATGGTTGATATAGTCAAGCATTCTTTCATTGCTAAATTCAATGAAGTAAAGCCCATCGTGTATTCTGAATTTCTTGAAGACCTTTGCAAGCAGGTATTCTCTATTGTTTTGCTTTACTTTTTTCACACACTTAACGGAGTTAAATGGGTGCTTATGTTTTCTGTCCAGGATACATTACTCAATTCTCCAGTGTGGGATCATTCTCTTTCCTCTGTAAAACTTTCATCTGCAATGTTTATGCATCTGATTTGCAGTTGTATCATTATGTACATACATATAAACATACCTGGATTACAAGCAGCCCTACATACCACATGTCAGATTATATGGCATGTTTTTCGTTGTTAACCTCATATTGACATCCGAATCCTTTAATATATATATATATATGGTTTCCACTACTGAAGTTAGCAACTGCATTTGCATAATCCCTTCTTCATGTTCCGTTGGAGATTGGCATATTGGTGAGGTTGTTATAGATTGATGTGTTGTTAATTCTAGATCTGAATAGGCTTTTTTTGTTTATCTAAAGATTTTGTTGGCTGAACAAATGGAGTGTGGTCGTCACTTCACATGCTTCATTGGTTTACAAATTAGGAGTACAAGAACTGATTTTGGTTATGTTAACAGCAGTTGAGAATTGGTGATTTTAGACCATGTGATGGATTCGGTTAGAATTCAGAAAGATGTCTGGTAACTGATGTAGTGACCGTTGATGCATAGTAGCCTGAGCTATAATGAAGCAGACGACTACATGGCTTAAGGTTTCATTATGAACTTCACCATAAAGTTTGAAAATAACCCTTTCCACTAATTGGGTATAGAGATGAGCAAGAGAGCCATATGAAGTAAATTTGACTGTGTATACGCACATCCTCGCCAACAATACCTATGAAAAATGTGACCTCTCTTGAAAAATAAGAAAAATTAAGCTTTTCCTGTAAGTTGGTTTCAGCAAGAAGGCCTCCAAACCTCTTATATACAGATATACACATACACTAGCACATAGTTGGTCCATTCAGTAGGCCCTAGCTCAGTATATGCCCATTGTGTCTTTTTATCTCTCTTCCACAATCTTACTGTCAGGTCATAAACAGACAAGCATTACATGAGCAAGCACACGGAAATTATGAAAATAAACAATGCACAATGACTCAGAGATTTATGTGGTTCGGCCAAGAATTGGCTTGTGTCCACAGCGGCACTAGTGACTATTTTCTCCATCAATTTTGGCTTAGGGTTTTACAATTTCAATGAGATGTGTTTAGGGTGTAGAATAGGCTGAAAAAGTTATCTGGTTCACACCCTCAGACTCCGCAAGTGTCATGGCAAATGAATATCAGACAATGTCACAATGAGACTCCAGTACTCAACACTTCCATGATCAGTGATCACACAATTTTACCGACGTATTCTTGTTCCTTGATCTGATTTAGGTATTAATTATGACATGCTAGTGTGTGTGTGTGTATTATTGAAGGGTCTGTTTCTGCTTGTTTGTTGGCACCTCGCTTCTGTTTATATGTTAGTGATCATATTTCACATGAATCCCCTTATGGATTTTGGATACTCTGGTCTAATTGCTCCAATTTCTACTTCCTATTATATCAAATATAAACAGACTCTGAATATCGAGATGGGGAATGGGAAGAAAAACCTCACTTTTGTTCCTCTGGCGCCAGCTTGTGTGGTAAGTGTGAATGTGTGATATAGTTGTGATGCCTATTTTTCAATATGAGGTGTTAAAGAAACCTTGTTCTTTCATTCAAAAGTCATGCCATGAGAAATAAGAGGTGTCCACACTCTGTTTGCTAAGAACAAATTGAAGTGAATGCTACCCTTTTTTCATGTCTGTTTTTTTATTAGATGCAAAGAATGCTACGTTCTTTTCTCAAGTCAATTATGCAATTTATTTAAAGCTAAGCATCTACCGTATAATACAATATAATTAGTGACGAGAAAACAATTGTTCACAGGAAGGTTCTAATATCCACATCTTTGTTAAGCCGAATCGATTGAACAATTGAAATGGAAACCAAAAGATAAGGACACTGTCAGATGCTTCAATTAACAAGGCAAACTAAGAACCAACTAGCATTTGAGAGGCTAGAACTCTCACATATAGAACCCACTAACTGCATGCCTCTCCTACAACCAGACCCACTAATTTGTACCACTAGCATCCTAGGATTATTCTAGACACGACCCAGAGGCCCCTTCTGCTAACAGAATAATCCCCCCAAATTACTAAAACACCCCTTCTAACCTCTTCTAGAATCTATAAGGTACCGATGGGCCTGGCTTGGGTCGACACATAACAATCTTATGCACAGGAAATTATATTTCTCATTGCAGATTATATAACGGTCTTAGTTAGACAATTGAAAGTCCTAACTAAGACATTTGTGGCGGTTAAATCACATTAAATTAATATAGTGTTTTGAAGGATTTTCAAGTCTGATAGAAATTAGTTAATACTAAACTGCAAGTTATCATTAGTTGAATTGCTGGTATTTTAAGCTGAAGAGAAAAAGGCAGGACTTTGTTCATCAGAAATCCGTTTCTATATTTCGTTTAGGGTGCCAAGATGGTTTCAGACTTGCAGTTAATTATATCAAGTGATTCTTTAATATATTCCTTAATCACTAATTACAGTTCAGGGAATGGGAAGGTTTTGACTATTAATGATTGATTAGTGTCATGGTTGGGTTAGGCCAAGTAGACAGGCACGCATGGTGCTCACTAAGCTCTTATTGGTTCTTATAATTCTCTAGGGAACTCTTGCACCTCGTAGATTTCTAGAATTCTGACCATCGTGTAAATTTCATTAAGGAGATTCTAAATTTGTAAATGACCCATATGCTGTTTTGTTGCTTAACTGGTCCAAATGACTCAGTTTCTTGTTGTTTCAGGTAATTAGAGCGTTAAGTCCAATTTATGCTGCTCATCTTCCCACGGGTCCGATCGTATGGAGACTTGTTTGGATATTGATCTTGATGGTGACGACATTTGTGATGCTTACAAGCTTCAAAGTTATGATAGGTATGGCTCTTCATAAACATTCTAGTTGGCATATAAAAAGATGCCAAGGGACAAAATTGCACTCAGATTAGCACATAATTTCAGGGTATTGTATTTGTATGTACCAACAATCATAATAGTTGACTAGTTGAAGGTCCATTCTTTGACTAAAATAGTAATTTTTCTTCACTTTTCAGCCTTAAGACTTTGTATGGAATAATTTCATGTATAGAGAGACACAAGTCTTTTCCCTTTAGAAATTTTTATATGAGCCAAATAAGAAAGTGGCTATACAAGTTTTTTGCTGCCTTTGCTTCACCTGGTTCTGCTTTGGATGAATTATAATATGATAATAATGTGTGCTAAGTGTTTATAATACAATGATGTAAGAATGGTGTAGACTTTAAGTCACTCGTAAATGCTAAAAACATAGATAGATAAGATGTATATGAAAATAACTGTTTAAATTTGATTTGGATACAAGGTGGATAGCAATTAGGGTTGTTCATGTGTTGGGTCTATCAGATTGAAGGCATTTGAACAATTCAACTTAATGTTTGAGGTTTGAAAAATCTCAACCCAAACAAAACCGTACGGATTGGTTGGGTTGGTCGGGTTGACGCTTTGGTACATCAAAATATTATTATAACTTTGAATATGTTGTAATCTCTACTCATAATTCATTTTTCATTATCGTACAACTTATCAACACTTCTAAAGTCTCGAGTATATCACTTTCAACTCCTTTTCTCGATTTGAATATATATGTTCACTCATTTATTAAACATATATATATGAATGAGTTATATAAAGATGAAAACTGAAGAGAATAGAAATATATTCGTAGGTATATGATGGTGTATTTGTCTGATATACATATTAATAGTTACTTAACAATCATATTAAATTCAAGAAGTAAAAGAATATCGAGCTTATCGGGTTGGATACCAAATGACCATAACTCAATATTAAGCTAAAGGAAAGAAAAGACTAGAATTAGGAACGTAGGTAGAGTCCTAGAGTAGAGATGTACAAAAGGCCAGGGCCAGACCTATTAAAGCTGGGTTAAGGTAGGACCAAAAAAGCCCATTTGGGCCCAAACTTAGTTAGAATAGGTCAATGGTCTGCTCAAAGCCATTTCTTGTTTCGTTAGTACTCTTTCATTATTTATTTATTTACTTACTAGAAGAGTACTTATGTAATGCATCGAGATATATATTGATTTTAATATTTTATTTTATTAGTTGTCTTTGTTGATGTTATAATACGAGTTTATGTGTTTTTAAGAAAGTAATAATTATTTTATTTTTGAATAAAATATAAATTTAAAAAAATATATATCAATGTTAATATCAAATCAACTATTTAAAAGTTCTCATTTTTTATGTAATTTCTTTATTTTATTTTTTTATTATGATTTAATTTAAGTTTAATAACGAAATAATTTATTTTT